TCGATGAGAAGGATCGATTTTGGAGAAGAGAAGAGATCGATACCTGGAGAAGAGATCGATGAGAAGGATCGATTTTGGAGAAACGTATTGGAGATCTGATCGATTTTGGAGACGTGATCGATTAGGGTTAGACAGGGTTAAAATGGTAAATCGGTAATAAGTCAATTTTCATAAGTTACTATGGATTAACTTATCAAAAACAACTTATTACCGGTTTGGTACCGGTATAAGCACTTTTTTTTTTTTTTACCCAAACACTCCGTTTTAACTTATCTCCGGTACCAAACTGAAATAAGTCAATAAGTCACTTAAATAAGCTTATCCAAACACCCCCTAGATAACGTGCAATAAAATACGAATTAAAACGAGTTGAGATTTGCAAACGCATCCATTGCGAAGACCAATTCGCTAAATAATCCGAAAAACCCTCGCCCACACCCATATCGGGCTTGTTTAGACGGAAAAAATCCTCCAGCGATGGTTAACTGCCATTTTTTAAACACTTGTAGCAGCAGCTCACCCCCATCGATCTTTCCCACCACCACTACAATCTCCTCCTCCTCCTCCCCCTCCTCCTCTGTGGTTTCCATCAAGTCTTCACTAAAATGCGCATTCCCAGTTATCAGAAACAATATCGCATTTGCATCTTGTCGGCGTCGTCGAGTCATTTGCGCGGCTGCGTCTACGCGTAAAAGTAGTAGTAGTAGTAGTCCTGACTACTATAAAGTTCTTAATGTTCGTAAAAACGCTACTTTGCAGGAGATCAGGAGCTCCTATAGAGCACTTGCTCGTAAGGTTAGTTATCACATATCATTTTCCCCTAGTTAAGATATTGAAATAATTCTTTTAAGTTGCTTTTATCAGTTATATCTTATTGTACAGACTGGGTGCATCTTGGGTTTGTAATGCAAAAGTAATTCTCAGAAGATGAGAAATCGATATCACATATTTTATGTATTTATCACCAATGGTTTTCAATTTATAGCAGTAATTGTTTATGGTTAGAAGTAGATATATTAATGTTTATGTTCTAATGGACGTTAACCAAACCAAACACACACAAGGTTTGGGTTCTGGTGAGAATGTAAGTTATGGTGAGAAGTGGAAGATGGTATCCACCATTGGATCAATCCTAATTAAATATCAACACTAATGCAATGCACCGGATCAATTCCGGTGATAAGCGCAATTCATGGGGTGAGGTGAGATTAAAAGTGACCAAGTGTCCTCAAACGATCCTTCATCACACACACAATATGTCGCCCATTTGTAGGATTGTTGCACACAGACCTATCCTCGAGCGTCTTGTGAAAAGGTTACAGGGAAAACTGAGTGCTTTGGATATATCTAAATTCTAAGGTATCTTTTACATGATCCATTGCTTAGGTCATGTGCATTCTTCCTGGCCTTTTGGTTTAGAGATGGTATTGAATTTGATTGTGAGGGTTTCATTATACTTCTATACCTTGCTTGTAGAACCAAAATGAAGAAAACAGTTGGCTTCACCCAAAAATTTGGAAGATGTAAAACCAAAAATGCGTTTGAGTGGGATGGGCTCTCGTATAGTGTATGGATATAGAGCTTGCCATATATATATATGTACGTATTTATTTGTGTGTGTGCATGTTTACACACTTATTTATTTACACATATGTGCCATACATAGATGCTAACATATGTTCAAAAATATGTTTATGTATATGCACACACACATACCTAAATATTCACATGTATATGCACTCAAATATGCACATATACCTACTTGTATACACATAATATCAATACACATACATCTCTATGTATATCTATACATACAAATATGTACATAAACACACAAATGCATTCAGTATACACACATATACACATCTATATAGACACAATTATGTATCCATATACATATATGTACATATACACACATATCTATCTACCTATCTATATTTATGTATGTGTGTATGTGTCTATATGTATTTGAATACTTGTCTATATGTATTTATAATCTGTCTAAATGCATGTATGTTTCTATCTATATGTATGTATATGTACACCCATATTGCATGTGTATTTACAAGTATTATATATAATGTAGTCCCACATGTAATTGTCGTGTTTGAGCTACAAGGCGACTGCTTACTAAGATCACCTGATTGAGGGAGAATCTTTAAACTAGTTGTGACCCATTTTTATCAAAGCTTGGGAGACTTTCCTTAAGTCATTGTATCAGTGTTTTCTAAGCCAGTGATGGTACATGTCCATGAACGTTTTCTTCAATTGTCAGAATTTTAACTATAAATCCTAATATTTTTTCCTTTATCTTCTTGTGACATTATGATCATAAGTTGGGTTAAAATAACCAAAAAATTTTCTTAGAACTCTCAACTGGCCTTCAAAAGATCTTTGTTGTTGGAATCTGCATGATCTTGATCATATGACTTGTAGTTACTGGTCAAGATTTGTAGCTTATTCCATGAGCAGTGGTTTTTTAGTATGCTGCACTGCCAGAACATCTTGGCTGAACCCTAAATAATTGAACTCGGTAAGTGAAAAAGGCTGTTGTAGAACGCTATATCTTAAACAATTTAGGCCTGCCCTGGGAAAATAGTCAAAATAAACAACCACTCAAAAATCAGCCATTGAAATCCACGTGTCGGTTCTTGAGAGTGTGACCTGATTAGGAATCTCTATCTTGGCTGATCCCCAAATGACAAACAAAACACAACTATGTTCAATGCTTGCACTCCATATTGCCAATGAAATTGTCCTTAACATTATATGTTTCCTTTTGCATTCTGTAAATTCTTGAGAGTTCGTTTATTTGTAGTTTATCATGTTCGATTTATTATTTTATGATAGTGCTATAGTTCTGTTTTTGTTGGTCGTTGAATACCGTCACTATAAAATGATCCATTGTGGCTACTGAAACGTAATGTCTCTACCTATACTCTTCATTTGGTTTCATACCAACATCGTTTCATACCTCTTTTGCAACAGTATCATCCAGATATGAACAAGGGTGCTGGAGCAGAAGAGAAGTTCAAAGAAATAGGTGCTGCATATGAGGTATCTAAGTATTTTATACAGCCTCTCTTCCCGACTCAACAAGTGACCTCTCTTCTTGATTGGGCATTCACTTTTGGGTTATATTTTCTTAGACTCTAACATACTCTCTAATTCAGTTTTCCAACTTCCGATTTGCATTATATCTTTCCTTTAACTTGTCTTTCACCGTACACCTTATGTTTTATGTTTTTATTTTGTATGTATAAGAATGCCAAATTAAACCACTTTGTTTTATATATTTTTCTTGTATAGGTCTTATCAGATGAAGAGAAAAGATCATTATTTGATCGTTTTGGGGAGGCAGGTTTACGAGGGGAATATGATGGATCAGGTACTGGTTACCAGGAGGTAAGATTGTATCACATTGGAACAACGATATCAATGTAGTATTTTCCTTTAAAGGGGTGGGTTGGGAGGGGGGGGGGGTTCTTTTCATGCCCAACATTGGTTGGTGTATCACTATCTATCTCAGGAACTTTTTTCTTTTAGGTGGACCCGTTTGATGTGTTTGGCACCTTTTTTGGGGATGCAAATGGTTTTTTTGGCGGGATGAATGAATCAGGAGGCAATAATTTCAATTTGAGGAGCAAGGGCAGCCATGCCCTGAACATTCGGTAATCGTCCACCTACAAGGTTACCTTTTCTGATGTTTAGCCAACAATTATAACATTTTTATGTAGTGACAAGAGTTTGTTTAGAAGAACATGCTGTTAGGAAAACCAAGGCCCACTGTAATCTGTCACATTCTCCCCGTTCTCTTAACATTATTTTCTGGGCATTCTATTGAAAAACATAACATGTAATTTTTTATTCAACCTTTTCGTTGCCAATTATAATGAAGACAAAAAAATCTGTTGTGCTTCAGGCCATTGATCTCAAGTTTCTTTTGCTGCTAATATGTGAATTATTGTCATGTTGCTTGTGAAGCTGCTGCACCTAGTTATTAACTCTTTGGAATGGTTCATAAATATGGCATAAGGCACAAAAGAGGGCCATGTAAAAATAACTGGATTGAGGTTATGCCATATGGTTGTTGCAATGTAAATTTCAGTCCCTTCTTTTGGGATCAAATGTAAAACACCCCTCTATTTACATGCTAATTTTTTTTACGTATATAATAATTATTTACAGAAAATTAAACTCACACACACTTCTCACCTTTGGTGAGACTTGAACCTCTGGTCTTCATGAAGGAGGGTCACTGGCTAGTGGGTACTGATGGTCTATGCTGTTATATCGGTCAGAATACGAAATATCAGTCAGGACCGATATTCGATATATCGGTCCAAAATAGCGGTTAACATAATATTTCTTAGAATTATATATATAATATGCATTAATTAGAGTTTAGAAATATAGTTTCAAAATTAAAACATCACATCATCTAAAGTGTTCAAAAACGAGCTAATCGTAAGTAATAGGTTCGGCATCCGAGTCAACATCATCCAATACATTCACTTCTTCGTTTAGGTTAGCTTCCCAATCTTCCTCTTCTTCCCCTTCATCTCCAACATGATGATGATGATCATCATCATCTCTATAGCGCTCCCTTTTACTTCTTGTACTTGGTCCAACTTCTTCATTACCTCCCATTGCTTCTCGTACATCCGACCAAAGGAGGCCATCTCTTGCATCCACAAACTCTTGGAGCTCAACGTCGGTTGGAACCACCCAATCATCATTTTCTTCAACATCTCTCAAGAAAATARGATTTGAAGACTTGYTATYYTTAARAGATTTGTAGCGYCTCTCCAATCTTTTGTTATATTGAATGAAGACAAGRTCATTCAACTTCTTTTGCAAAAGGCAATTTCTCTTCTTAGAGTGCAACTGAAATGATAATTGATAAATTTAAAACCATAACTTGAATTTAAGTTTCATTTGAGCTAANTTTTGCAAAAGGCAATTTCTCTTCTTAGAGTGCAACTGAAATGATAATTGATAAATTTAAAACCATAACTTGAATTTAAGTTTCATTTGAGCTAATATATTTTCCATAACAAAGAAAACTTACATGATCAAATGCACTCCAATTCCTCTCACAAGGAGAAGCGCTACAAGTTTGACTTTGAACACTAATCGCAAATTGTTGGAGCACGGGTGTGTCGATGCCATAAGAACACTACCATACATCTACGTTTTATAGGTATATTAAGTTAATAAAAAAACACAAATAAACTTTTGAATATGTGTATATATATATTATATGATTATATCCTATTATCATACTTACGTGGTGCTACTTTAGCTCTATTTCTTATGGCAGCCGCAGATCCAAATTGCCCCGATATCTCGACATATTGATTGAGTTCCATCCGTAAAGTATCGTTTCTTTCTTCATCATGCACAAGTCGGTCAATTGCCTCGTATAGTCCCGTCTTGATGTATCTATTATTCTCAACTTCTGAATTTTGTGCATAATAAATGGCGGGGTTGAGGTAATATCCGGCTGCATATGTACTGAAAGTTAATACCAATAATTGGATTAAATTTAAAAATTAAATAAATAAAACATAACAATATTTTATAAATTATACCGGCATGCAAAGGATGATGAAGTTGGTCACTCCATCGTGCTTGAATCATTGACCACACTTTAGTGATCAGTCTTTCGTGAACGGTGCCAGTCAAGTTCTTAATTTGATCTTTAGCTCTCTCCATAGCATCGTATATATAGTCCATACACGGCTTCTCCTCCGTATCAACCAACCGAACAACATCAACCAACGGTGCTAATACCTGACAAGCAAGATAAATATTGTCCCAAAACTCTTGCTTAGCTATTATTCGTTCAATTCTTTTTCCGATGGGTTTCTTGGCAAAGTCACTCTTCCTCCATTGTTCAGAAACAAATAGCACTTGGAGATGATGCCGATTCTCATGGATGCTCTGAATGGTGTAGAATTGTGTTGCGAACCTTGTAACACATGACCGATGCAGTTCTCTATTTTTAGTAAGCTTTCGCATCATATTCAAAACCCTTCCGTGGTTATAAATATAAACCACTACCGCTCTCGCATCAACTAGCACACTTTTAATCTTTGGAATTTTCTCTCCGACATCTCTTATCATAAGATTCACGCAATGAGCTGCGCATGGTGTCCAAAACATCTGAGGATGTTGTTCTTCCAAGATTTTTCCAGCAACTTTAAAGTTGGACCCATTATCGGTGACAAACTAGTATAAGTAAAAAACAATTAGTCACTACTTCAATATATGTGTGTGTGTAGAATAATGTGGATACTTAATATAGATAGAATATTTATTTGTTACCTGCATGATGTTCTCCTCTCCGACATCCTCTATAACCTCATTGATCATCTGTACAATTAATTGAGCATCTTTCACATGCTCCGATGCATCAATTGATTTCAAAAAAATTGTCCCTTGTGGACAATTGACCAAAAAATTGATCAAGCTTCTCCCTTTCCCGTCTGTCCAAAAATCGGACATAATAGTGCATTTACTCTTCTTCCAGTGTGAACGGAAGGAATCCACAAACTCGTTGGTGTCCTCAAGTACATCTTTCAACAATGTGACCCGAATATTATGATAACTTGGAGCCGGCATGCCTACCAACGATAGGAATAAAGTTAGTACTTACTATTTAGTAGTTAACCTTTGAGAAATATATTAAAAATTTGAAGTGGTAATTACCTCTTCCATACTCTCCAACCGCATTTATGAACTTTTGAAAGTTCTCATCTTGCACGGCATTGAATGGCAACCCAACCGAATATGCCCAAACCGCAAACTCTTTCCAAGCGGCCAACTTTAAYTTCTCTTTGATTGGATTGTTTCTATCTAAGGTGGCTTGCTTTATCTTGGCATAATCGGGCWTCAACATCGCATCAAGAGGCCCGCGAACATCGCTAGCGGGATTTCTTTTTAAACCACGAGGCTGTGTTGAGGCTTGTGCTCGTGCTCTTCCTCCTTCGATAATCTCTATTCCATCTACGTCTTGCTCATCCTCATCAATATCATCAATATCATCAACTTCAAYCGAATATTGTCGAARGATTTCTACATTTCTATTTCGTTCTTTCTTTTTCTTATTCTTTTCACTAATGGATGCTAGAACTCTTTTTTTGATGTCGTTACTCACATTAGGACAACCAATGACGTTACCTCCGTTGTGAGTAAGGTGTTCTTTCAACCTAGTGACCCCCCACTCATTTTTTATCACATATGGTACACCATACATTTAGTTTTTTTGGTTGGATCTTTCCATACCCCCCATTCCCAAGCCATATCTCTATTGACGCATTTTGTACCCGCATCTGATGAAGTAGTAGTAGTAGTAATCGGGGTCACAGATGCCCTTGAAGATTGACCCCCTTCTCTACTTTCTATTGCTTTTTTTAGTAATTAAGTTCTTAGTTCTAAGTTCTAACTAAGACAAATCAGAATAATTAAGTGAGTGGGTGGGTGATAGTAAGACCTGGAGGCTGGACCAGGCACTGTCGAGTGTCGATTGCTGCTGTTGCTGTCAATTGCTGTTGTTAATGTTGGCTGCTGTTGCTGTCGATTACAGTTACTGCCAGTTGCTGCTGTGGCTGTAGCAACCTGGTAAGCAGAGGAGATGGAGAAGTCGAAGTCCAAGTCGTGAGAAGAAGTCGAAGTCGAAGTCTGATTAACTAGGTGTCTGAATCTGAAGTCGTAAATATAAAAGAAAGAAGAAGACCGTTGTGGAGGTAGATCAATTTCAGACCTAATTTAAGTTACCAAGCCCAAAAAACTAGGCCCATGAAGTAACAAAAGCCCAAATATTTAAACCCTAAAAAATCGATACATCGGTCCGATATTTGCATCAAAATATCGCTAAAAATCGGAAAATATCGCCGATAATATCGGGGACGATATTTTGACCGAGATTTATGGACCGATATTTTCTCTAGGAGCGATATTCGATATATCGCCGATATATCGCGATATTAACAGCATAGCTGATGGTACATGCCATTTCTTTTTGGTCTATGAACCATTTCTTTTGTTGTCTTAGTGAGGGTTGGAGAGGAGATATTATTTTGTGATAGTGATTCTTGAGCTTAGCTTCCTCGTTAGATGCTAAATACATATGAAGTCGGTTATATTCATGTCATGTTTGACGGTTTGCTAACTTTACAAATGTATTACTTTGCGGGTGTATTATGGATTAATTGAAATATTAGGGCCATTAGGTCGTATGGATTCTCTAAGGCTGCGTTTGGTACATGGGACTGGACAGGACATAACAAAACCCATTGTTCCACATTTAGTGTGACATGGGACTGGACAAAAACTCACGGCTCCACGTTTGGCACGACATGGGGCAGGCACTGGTACTGGGACAAGTATTGTATGGGACAAAAAAGACTTTTTTTTGTAAGATGGGACAAAACTACAAATTATCAATCTACTCTCATTTGATAAAACTCTAATATGGTTTTTGGTTTAATGGTCAGCACCACCCATCGCTGCCACCACCACAACCACTGTCGACCATCGGCCACCACCACCCATCGCCGCGCCACCACCACTACTGGTTACCACCTCCACCACCATCGGCTACCGACCCTACCACCGTCAATCACCACCTCTATCTACACCACATCAGCCACCACCTCCTCAACAACCACCACTTCCACCTCCATATTCACCCCTGTCGGCCGCCACCACTCCTAGAATATTAACGATATGGGAAAAGAAATGGCGTTTTCTCTTCAACCTTAAATATTATGATTTGATGATAATACATGAGGGTCATGTAGATAATGAGAGTTTGACTTTCTATTTCTGTCACTTCATGATCATAAGGAATCTACTTCTATTTATTCCACATCCCTTTAATAATTGATGATCTGTATTTGCTTTTCTCTTCACCAAGTTACAATTTATGGAGTTGCATAATTCTTTGTTGTTCAGGCATGATATCTTTTTGAGCTTTGAAGAATCGATTTTTGGGGGGAAAAGAGACATTGAAGTTTCCTGCCTTGAGACATGTGACTATTGTGGGGGAACAGGAGCTAAATCAAGCAATCATATAATATTATGTAACCACTGTGGAGGTAGAGGAGCAGTGGCAGAAACTCAGAAAACGCCATTCGGGGTGATGTCTCAGGTAATTTTTTAACTATTGCTACTAAGAATAATGAGTATATGAATATCAACTGACTTTTCATTTACATGTAACGTCTTGCTGTTAGACTGTATACACTCTTTTAGGTCAATGTCTTGTCGGATAATGCAACAGACTTTTGGAATAATTAACATCCTGTAGCATCAAGGCTTGCTTTTAGTTATATTCTATGTGGAAATGGGGATTCTAGTACTTGGTAAGGCACAATTTAGTTGTAGGAATGCCTAATAGAGCTGGATGTCCTTTTTGGTTTTAATATGTTGCTAGAAATAAATTGCAAATGTATTGCTTAATTGATCTTCTAAACTCCCGCTCTTTCTGTTATTTTCTATTAAGTCCATCTGATTTCTATTACCTTTGTTGTGTTTCTTAATCTCGTTTTCACGCTGTCTTGGGGCCAATTTTCTACTATTATTTCACCTCACATTATTGTCCTTCATTTTTTCAGTCAAATTGATCCAAGTAGCAAAAGTAGGGGAAAGAGCCACCACATAGTCTACCTCTTGATGACCTTACAGGCTTCATCCAACACAACAATTTGTACACAAATTATCACATTCCATCACAGTTTCCAATCATTTTCCGAAAAAAAAATCATTGCTTTTTTAAAATCTAAAAGTTCTAGACAATCTTACCGGTATGGCTACCGACGTCTAACCCATGCTCGTCTTATCTCACAATGTTAAAACGTCACTTGCTTGCATGAGTTTATATGGTGAATTTGTTTCATTGGAAATGCTATAGTGGAATATCATTTTGGTGTAGAGTCTTTATTATGTCATATTAACACTAACATAACATGAAGAGTCAAATATGCCATCTCCATAAAGCATACTCTTATATCTTGATGCATCAAGTAAATTAGTTGGATAATATTACTCTGAATCTTGTTCAAAATAACTTAAAAGTTGTCTGCTAGATAAAGTTACTTTTTGCATTAACATGTCATTTGTATTCATATTAATGCAAACCAAACTATTGATGTCTGAAAAAGTAGTTGATTGTTGTTTCAACTAAGTTAAGGCGGCCCTTGGTTCGTTTTAAGGATTGGGAATGAATATGTTGGGTGATGGGAATGGGTATATATGTTGCATTGTTTTACATTATTTCTGTTGCGTTGCATTGTTGATGTTTGGTGATGAAAAAACAATCCACACACACTACTTCCTCCTCGATCACCAAGACACCAACATAGCATATCCATCTTTTTGCTCCTGGTTTCATCTTAATGTTTTTTATTTTATCTCCACAACCACAAGATGGGATTTATCTTCAAATCCGCTAGGTCGAGAATCACACCCAAAACCAAATGGTGAAATAGATGGGAAGTTGGAGTGTAGTGAGGGCTAGAAGGCAAATTTGAGGAATACATTTTCATTCTCCTGATTTAAGGAGGAATGTTTGATTGCCCAAAAAATGTAATGATTGAATGCATTATATAGAAACAAACACTATTAATCATTGCATTCCCATTCCCTATTTAAGCCAAACGCCTTCAATTATTCTTTTTTTCATTCCCCACGTAATGTCCCCAACCAAGCGCCTATCTTGGCAACTTCTTGTTCCACAGTCATTGTGAGGGGAACATGGAAGAACTTATGATTGATGACACCTATAAAAGATTTGTACTAGAAATAGAGTAGACATGAGGCAATGCTTTAAGAATGAATAGAAGATGCAAGATTTTGAGACCTTGTGCTACTCTTGTTGCATTTCAAAGACTCCTTTGCAATGTACTTGATGTTCGTTTCAGTGTTTCACAAGGTTGGTTATTAGTTTTCTCATGTGTAGAAGATGCCTCATGGATGTATAAAGTACCCTGGCTCTTATTTACAAGCATGGAGGAGACATTTAAATCGTTTAAGCTATTTATAGGAGTCAGGATGTAAGACATACAACAATGGTAGGGAGTGGTGGCATGCATCCGGAGTCTTCAACCCTGGAATCTCACCTATGACCGAACCTGAAAAAACCCCAGGTCTCATGCAATAGCTGCACGACATCATGTAATTGATTGGTAAAAATGTTTGGTTCACCAAGAAGTAAACATATAAATATAGATGTAGGAGAGATCTGCAAATTGAGGTGGATGCATGGCTATGTTTTGATGAATAACATTAGAAATGAGGGTATGTGGTAGAGCTGGAAGCTGATTTAGGAGAAAATGAGGGAACACCACTTAAGATGGTTTAATCTACAGTCTTTTGGAAGCAGGATGAGGTATATTTACACCAATAAAGGAGGCCAAGAGGATTTTGGACTTCGAGATATCCAAATGTCTTTGCCTTTGATAGGAAAGCATATACCGTTTATTCATGTTCTTAGTTCACAGAAAAGGGCTTAGTTCTTTTTTAGTCAGCTAGATTACATTGACTTGTCATAGCTAACCATGAAATGATTGATCTATTGTTTTTGATACTTCAAAGTAAAAATCTCTTATCAGGAATTATCTTAGTTGCTATCATTGTTTAGATCTTTGATATATGAATCTTTATTTCAGTAAATATCTTTATGTGAAAACGTTTTTTACTTGCCATACTAATAGAATCTTGTACGCATGTGATGTATATTGATCCTGTTTTGTGCAATTGCTTGTTATCCAGAATTCCCTTTCTATTATAAAAATGTTATTTTTCATTTTTTTGCTTTATCCAACCTTTTGACTTACCGGTAGTATTTTTTTCACCTATCGATTTCAGGTATCTACTTGCTCAACGTGTGGTGGTGATGGTAAGATCATAACTGAATTTTGTAAGTATTGTCGAGGTGAAGGTAATGTCCAATCAACTAGAAGTATCAAAGTGGTAATACCACCTGGTGTGAATGATGAAGCTACCATGTGCATAGAAGGGGAGGGAAATGTTGACAACAAAAGGTGTGCTGCAATCTTAAGTAATTCATATCTACACACAACTAGCAATTGTTACATGGGTCTGGCTCACGTTTACCTCTAAACCCCACATATACTAACTTCAACTATTTCTTGACGGCATACATGACCTTATTCTAAAAATCTTTCATTAGTTGGTGCACCACCTACAAAGATGGATGATTTAGTACCAATCTGACATTAGACACCAATATTTGAAGTCCAAGACTTGAGAAGGTGTAGTGTGAGGAGAGCCCAAGTGCATAAGTTCCTTACTATTTGGAATTTGGCATGTGGTAAGTGTTATGTTGTTAATCGCACCGATATAGCGGTGCAATTGTGGTTAGCGGTCATGGGACAAATAGGCGGTGCTCAAATAGATGTCCTGCGATTAGAGGCGCTGTAGATCGCAAAATGACCGCCTTTTGAGCGAAGTGGATTGAACAACAGTCCAAATGTAGTACTAAATAGTGTTCAAACTGATGGTAGAAAAAGGTAGCAAAAGAACTTCGAGATGGAAAGTGAAAAACATGTTATCGTGTCTCTCTTTATCAGAAGTGGAAAACAAGGGCTACCATGGTACCATGATCAGAAGATCAGAATAGTTCAAATAAACTTGAAGGTTCAAAATTTAGATACAAAATTAAACACACTTTGTAGATCATATCCAAATAGGACCAAATTGGCAATCATAATAGTTTTAGTAATGAGTCAATGATCATGATTAGGGGTTCAGTTGCAATTCTAGGTTTTCAATAACTGGGCTTTCAAGCTAGAGGGGCTTCATGAATATCAATGTTTTCGTGGTATAGTCGATTTTTGGGATTAGGGTTCGCAATAGTGTCACGAGTAGGGGTTTGTAATAGATCACGGGTAGGTTAGGCTATTGTTTCTACAATGGGTGGCGATGACAATGAGGCCATGAAAGGGATATTGTCAATAAGGCAAAAGGATTCCACAACTTGGGATTCGTTGGCACTAGTGTTTTTAAGTGCTAGGCTTATTGGATAGAGCAACAAAGCTAGGGTTTTGGGAAGGATGTCACAACAATGATGAATATAACTTCATGATACGGGAGTTGCGAATTAGGAAAAAAAATTTGTGGCAAGGTTTTCCAAGCATCATGTTTAGGGCTAATAATTTATTTATTTAATTTTATCTTGAACAACATAACTCTATAACAATAGAAGGTTGGTATTTATTTAATTTTACATAAATTTATTTATGTAACAATTGAAGGTTGGTATTAGTTTTTGATGATTTGTTAAATAAACGAAAAATCTCTTATACACAAACATGTTAATAGATAAGGACAAATACTTAATGGTAGATTAAATAGATAAACACTAAACTATCTGGACTCTTTGAATATATCATAATGAAAACATCTTGTTTGTAGAATTGAATCTTCCCACTTTATTGACTGCTAGTTAGCATTCCTTAGCAATTTATACTTCTTTTTGCTAGGTTCTTTCACAGAACAAGTTGGTGATACTCTTGATCTTCCTTGCAGGAATAGAGTTGGTGATTTGTATTTAGTCCTTCATGTTAATCAAAAACGTGGAATACGAAGGGATGGTCTTGATCTTTACTCAGAGATTAATATTGATTATTCACAAGCAATATTAGGTACTGTTATTAAGGTAAAGACAAATTTGAGTTCAATTACATGTAAAATCTGCATGTATTATTTATGGAACAACTTGAACTTATTAGATATGCTATAGAACACATCTTAAGGAACATGTGTCATACCTTTTAGCAATCTTGATACTACTTGATAAATTTATATATATGAAATTATTAGAGCTGAGAAACAGATACCTTGTTGAGAACATAAACCGATCATAAAATATATTGGAATATGTGGTTTTCAGATAAAGATAAATGAAAATAAGATAATTTTAATCAGGATAAATATTTAGATAGTCATGAACTGATATGACTTCGAGCACTATCAACATTCTTTTCAAATTACTTGGTGCTCCTTTAGTGGTTTGTACTCGGGAAAAATCATTGCCATTTATGTTACCGAAGATTATATTAGGAATTTTGTGATCTAGTAACTGTACATGTGCAAACTTTAATGTTCAGAACCTTAGGTGGCGTTTGGTTCGTAGAATGTTTTTGGATGAAATGGAATCTGTTAAAGGAAATTGACTTTGAAGGAATTGGAATGAAATGTTATCAGGTTTGACCACCTTTGGTTGGCAGATATTGGAATGGAATCTGTTAAGGAATTGAAATCTGTCTGTTTGATTCACAGAATGTAGCTTTGGAATTGGAATGAAATATTGGTAAATGACTAGAATGCCCTTTTTTGAAAATTTTAAATTTTTTAAAACTTAAAATACTTTAATAAAATAATTATTTAATGTGTAAAATAATATAAAATACACAACCCGAATATAACCATAAACCAAACGACGTTACTAAATCGATGGTGGTCCATGGTGGTTCAGATCCGTGGTGGTCTGTAGTGGTTCAGATGGCGGTGGTCGGCAGTGGTTCAGATTGGTGGTCGTTCGCGGTGGTTCGGATGGCGGTGGTCGACAATAGTTTAAATCGGTGGTGGTCCACGGTAGTTCAGATGGCGGTGGATCAGATCGCCGGTGGTTCAGTAGGGGGTGGTCTAGATCGGCGATGGGAGGTGGTGGTTCATATCAGCGGTGGCCGGTGGTGGTTCAGATCGATGGTGGTCGGCGATGGTGGTCCGCGGTGGTTAAGATGACGGTGGTCGGCAGTGGTTCAGATTGGTGGTGGGCGGTGCTGGTTCAGATGGCGGTGGTCGGAGGTGGTTCATATCGGGGGTGGTTCATATCGGGGGTGGTTCAGATCGGTGGTGGTCCATGGCGGTGATCCGTGGTGGTTCAGATCGACGATGGTTCAGATTGGTGGTGGTTCAGATCGGTGGTGATCGGCAGTGACTCAGATCGGTGGTAGTCGTCGGTGGTTCAGATGGTGATGGTTGGCAGTGATTCAGATCGACGGTGGTCGGAGGTGGTCCACGATAGTCATATTGGGTTTTATGAGATTAGGGTATGTTGGGTTAAGGGCATATTTGGTATTATGAAAATAGAGAATTCCGTTCCATCAAAATACCATGTAGTTGTTAAGGAATGTTAAATTCCTTTATTTGTGGAATTTGTAGGATTTTGAAGATAACTTTCGTGAAAAAGAATGAAGCAAACGAGGGAATGAAATTTGGTCAATAATTCAACATTCCAATTCCATCATATTCCTTCAGAATCTGCGAACCAAACGCCCCCTTAGGTTAGTGTGGATGAATGGACCCAACATTGTCTCCTACCACTAATTCTAATCATATCACTATGATATTAAAGCTTTTCTTGTTTAAGTAAGCATGGCCGAGCGGATGCCAACATATGTTGTTATGCAAATAATCTAATGCACTTGTTCATTGCCATCCCAAGTGTTCTAAAAATTTGGATATTAAATTTCTAGGAACGCAGTGTCTTTGGCTTCTAAGATCACATTGATGGTCTAATAATTAAGAGTAAACTCGAATTTTGGTCCTAAGGTTTTCTTGAAACTCTGATACTCGTTCCTAAACTTCAATAAGTTCAGATTGTCCTTATGGTTTGCATTTTGCTCTTAAAATTGTTCCTGAGGGAGGGTTCTCATGGGTTGTTTGGTTGTTCTTTCATCAAGTCCTGTATAGATTAAGTTGTCCATATGAATTATGCTAGATTGATGTGTGTTTGCTGGAGAATAAACTGTCTGAATGACATAATTACCATTTTACCTTTGTTTTACGAGAAACATTTATTTATTTGAGTAATTTTGTTTACTTTGTTACATCTTTTAGAGTAGTTGTTTCTTTTGTTTATTCTTATGCATCCTCAAATATTATCGTTACATCTTTTACAAAAGTTTAAAATACGATCGACATATCACAAGTATCACAAGATTTCTGGAAAGGGGGGGGGGGTATAGAGCCTCTTTGCTTCTTTCTTCTACCTCTTGATTAGCCATTCTAATTGCTTCATCACCATTTGCATATCTTCCTTCAACAAAATCACCTTGGTCTGGACAACTCTGGCACTTTCCTCCAATTCTTCGACACAAGAGGCTACACTCCTAGTCATCATTGGATCTCATCGCTCGAATATTAATTTGATATACCCAGAGCACATAAATCAAAATTGGATGTGATTGTGGTGTATCTTAACTCGAAGCAAAGGAATACAAAGGATTCCAGCTTTCGATAAGCTGGTGCACAAGGAAAATGGAATCACAAAACAAAATACCTTTTCACCACCTGTTGTGGCTATTTGTATTTAGAAGGGGTTCCAACTTCCGGTAGGCTGGTGCTCTCCCTCTCATGTCAAAAGGAAAATGAATCAGAAAACATAATACCTTTCCCCCACCTGCAATGGCTATTTATTTCTATTTCCCCATCCTAACGTCCTCACAGAAACCTCGTCCCCACCCTTCATACATGGACATGAAGACAATTTTTACCAATACCCTCTTATTTTAATAGCATAGCTTAGGGGTGTAATTCCCAAAATATCACAGAAATCAGATAATCTTCAATCAAGATTATGATCAATCTAGAGAGAGAATTTCACCCAAGTGTATGATATTAAATCTTGTAATGTTTACAAATGTGATTAGCTCAACACTAATTACAACACTAATCATCCTATTTATACAAGGAAAGCATTAAAGACTAAACTATTACAAAATAGGAGAAACTTGCTTGAATACAACATTAATGCACATCATTGAACCCAACATTCTCCCCCTTTGGATTCAAGCACGAGAAATAGTAAATCTTGACTTTCTAAGACCCAAGTGAGTTTTGATTCTTCTCAATGCACTTCGATACTGCAATTTATCATCCAACAGGTTTAAACGCACTGATCAGAAGATACCTTTCTCTAAGACTCATTCTTTCATTTTCTGCAGCTTTATCATTATCAGCTTTAATTCTCTCAAGAGCCCTTCGCACCAGCTTGATAGTACCGTTACAGTACTTATTCAGCTCACTAAACCTCATAACTGCACCATCATATATTACCACAAACTCCGGATCTTCAAGAATAATAAAGAGAGGATAGCCTTCAATGTCTTGATCAGGTCTTTTCAAGTTTATGATCTTCTGATTACCTTCAAAGCCCATCTGAACATCAATGACCAAAGACAATTTAACATGACTCTTCAAGTATCTCTTTATAGCTTCTAGACCAACGACTGCTCCTTCTCTTCTGACAGTGAGATCCCGAAGTTCATGGTAAAGATGCTCCAGATTTTTAAGATAAAGATTTGGGAAGTCAGCTTCGCTAAACGTCCAGATGTGTCCATCTTGTCTTATTACACTGAAAACAGTATACCAAACTCTTACAAGTTTATTGGCATATATATTCTTGATAGACACGATTCGATGTCTGGTTCGTACTTGACTAATTGGTAGGCGCTTGGCTTTCAGAAAGTGCTTGTATTCAGTATGATATTCTCGAGTCTCTTTATGAATCCCAAGGATTCTGTCACCACTTAAAGCTTTTCGGTGACGAATACAAATGCCAAAATAGATATCTTCAAGAAAAGGTTCTCTGATCCGAGCTCTGTCAAAACCTGGAACATTAGCTCGAATTGCAAATGGCACATAATTTTTTGAAAAGATCTCTGTAGGATCAAATGCCATCTTAGAAGTATCAGAAGCGCCTTGAGAAACTGTGGTGGGAGGTTCAGAAGCAGTTTGATGATCAACCTGAAACGGAAAAATAGGATCATCTTCATTTATGTCTGTTTCAAAGTCAAAGTAGATGTCCGCTGACTCATCAATATTATCAATATCTTCATCGTAATCTTGAACTCCACCCAGTTCTCTTGAGAAGACATCATTGAACCCAACGTTGGCAGACAAATCCAATAACAGCCTTGTTTCTACAGTGGAGTCCGCCAGCTTTTCAACCATTGGCTCGATCACAGGATTTGTCTCCACAGCTGTCACCTTCTCAGCTGATTCCTGGCCAGTAGTCCGTTCTCTTGTACTTGCTGGAACTGGACTTTCTTCAATAACAATTTCAGACTCTGGCTCCCAGCAACACCTTCCGCACCAATTGACGACTCAGCCAGCCTTTGTCTTTTCCTCTCCCCCTCATGGTGATCAGGATCGTCCTGATCATCATGCCTTCTTTTCAAAGTGCTGGCTTGAGCTCGGCAAGTATTTTCCAAAGTTGATACCCTTTCGGTTAAGGCATCAATGGAGTTTTGCATTAGAGACAGTGCTCGAGTGTGAGGCAATTATAGTACTAATTTTTGAGAAATTAGTAGCTACAACGTCCTGGAAAGCTAGAAATTCTGAGGCCTTTACGGTAGGATTCTCCTCAACTTGCTGTCTTAAGAGCCCAACCAGATCTGCGTCCGCCGCATCAGGATTTTGACTCGATATTAACTTTGCATACAGTAGCGACTTTAGCTCATCCACCGTTTGTTCTTGTTCCCTTAGAGGTTTAGGAGCAGGCGGTGGTGACGGCACAGACGATTGTTCTTCAGTTACTTGCTCTTTTCCCTTCAACAATCTCTTCAAATTTAGGATTTGATCTGTCATAGTGTCCTAGACAGCCTTTAGGGCGCCATCCAAATATTCCCTTGACACAAAGTCAGGTAAAGTAACACCTGGATCATATAGATTGCCAGTTGTAACAACAGTTGAGTCAACTGTTGTGCCTACGTTCAGTGTTGGCAGAATGTTAGCATTGGTAGGACTTCCAACCTGTCCTTGTGGAAAGTCTACAGACTCCACTCGGGTCGTTCCGGCTAGTTCACAAAGAACTGCAGATTGAGCAATGGATGCTCTAGACTCAAGTGTACCTATGTGTATCGGCGCTAGACTCGAGGTGCACTGAATCGATGTCGTAGGCTGGGGCAGAGGCCTACTAGTTTCAATATCTACATTCTCCAAGTGAGAAGCAAATAGAGTATGTGCTATATCCCCGTGTGAAGATGAAACAATTGCTTGTTGAGAAGCAACTGAGTGGCTAGGGGGGGTGTGCATTTGCATAGCTGGGCAAGCTATGTCTGTTCCGATATCAACATTCAACAAATGAATGTTGATAGCAGATGTGGGTGCCCGGCTAAGTGTTTCGGCTGGGATAGGAGCATATGCTTCATTTTGAGCTCCACACTCACCCTCTCCATATTTTTCTCCGTCCCCTACACTCATTCTCTCAACATTTTCTACTTGAGCTCCCTCATCTTCTTCATTCGGTATGTCATCCAATAATTGATGCAATTCACCGAAATCATTGCCGAAGTCATCAACATCAAAAGATAAGCTGTGAAGACTCGGACATGTTTGTTGATCTTGATTATCATCAAAAATATCATCAAGATTGTCTATGATTGCGCCCACTTGAATGTTTTCAGTAACAAGAAGATGAGCAGCATCATCATTATCATCATTGTTGTCATCATCATTATCACTATCATTATCATCAGCCTGAGTTGCCTCATCATCTAATATTGTATCTTCCTAGCTTGAAGAAGCTGTGGAAGTATTATCTGTTGTAGTTTGATGCAAATCAGAGTCTCCCCTCGTCAAACTACCCCTCTCATTTACATTTTCTCTCTGCTCACTTCCCTGATCAGGTACCCCATGTGCCTGAACTGTCTCATCTATATCTATACCCTCTCGCTCAGCTGAGACATGGGTGGATCCCGGGGCAAGTTCAACCGGTTCTAGCTGAACTTTAGGATCTATAACTCTCCTATAATCTATCACACATTGAGCACTCTGATCCGCATAGCCAAACAGCTCAACTGGAATTTCCATGATTGAGTCCAGATCTTCAACTTTTGTATGAGATCTTATTCGTTGCGTAATGAACGACGACCCAACTTCACTGCTTTCTCTGGCCGGAATATTTTCGTTTGCGTTCATCATCGCCTTAATGATAAGTTGAAGAAACCTTTGAAACGGCACAAATTTTCTGGCTTTTGAAGGAAATCTCTTAGCATTGACCAACTCGACCAATTCGTTCTAGATTATGAGCGCATAGTCATAATGACGATTGAAGACGATTCCATGGAAAAACTTCAGAAATGGATTGCTGCACGTGTCAATCCTGGCAGTTTTTGACGTTAAGCACCGGTTGAGTATTGAGAACAGCAAGTGCCATATTGAGGGAAGAAATCGTCTCTTGAATTGTGACGGAATAGTTAACTCTTGCGAGTATCCTAATCGTCTGATGTCTCTGCGTAACTTTTCATCAGATATTAGCTGTTCAAAAGCGGAAGCAGTTGGTCCTGGTAATCTCAGTATCCTTCGAAGTCTTTTTAAAGTCAGACGACTTGACTCAGTTATGAGATCGATCCATTGATTGTTCTCCTTCGATTTTGATTCATATTTTGATTTCCCATATGTCAAGCGTTCCATGTTCATTTTGAGTCTTCTTGATATTGGTAGTCGTTTTGAAAACATTAGAGATAGCAGAAGTTCATTCTGCTTTGGTCCCAAAAGGCCTAAATCCTTAGGATTTTGATGCTTTCATTTGCATTTGAGTTCCATTTGCAAGAGTGATGGTTACATTTGCATTTGAGTTTCATTTGCAAGAGTGATGGCCTAAATCATTTTGATTTTGATCCTTCCAATTGTATTTGAGTTTCATTTGCAAAACAACAAAAGTGATGGTTATTGGATTTGGGTTTCCTTGCAACATAGGCGCTTATTTTTTGGTTTATTACATTTATGCATGTAAGGTATTTGATGAAATATGTGAGAAATGTGGATTGTTTGGGTTGTAGTTTGGTTTACCACAATGAAATAGTAGGACAATGATTTATATTTCTTATTGGTTATCAATTTTAAGGATTGATTAGTATAGTTGATTTATGAATTTCATTGTCAAGCTTTAGGGAACAACATAAAAAAACAAATAGTCGGGGTAGAAGGGTAATTTTTTTCATTCAGACAATTTAAGGGGCCGTTTACCAAACGCTTACCCGGGTAAGTGTTTACCGGCAAAATTCAACACTATCACTTACTTACCAGGTAAGATTTTAGTTCACCAAAATGGTATCGTATGAAATAATATTCCCAATAAGTGCTAACTATGGTAAAAATCATCGCCCTCACTTACTGGGTAGGAGTCGCGATCCATGTCTTCGCTTTTACTGAGTAAGATTCTTAGTCCTTGCCATATTCATCGGTAAGGTAATGTGACTTGGTAAGCACTTGGTAAATGGCCCCTTATTCAGCATAACAAACAAGCAACAATTTAGCTTAATCCATACAGACAACGTAAGTGTTTCTGACAACTTAATCCATATAGGGCCTAATGAAAGAACAACCAAACACCTTACTATTTCTTACTGTTTCAACTGGGTAATGGCGGGTTCATCATTTCCTTTTTTGGTTTGGGGGGGTGTTTGTAGGGGGAGAATATCAGACAACTCACATTTTCAATTTAGGACTGCTCATACATGCATTTAGAGAAGATAATAGTATTACTACTTCAGAGCAATAGCCACTTTAATTGGTGCAACCTGAGTGGAGGGTTGGAACACTGGTGGTAAAATATTAGGTTAGGTTTCTTGTGTAATAAGTGTGCCGATAACAATATAGAAACAGAGTAAAAGAGTGTGATATGACATATATCTGATATGACATATATCTTCAAGGCGTATGCTATTTCTTAGGGGTCTCAATTTTGTACCAAGACAAACCAACCATACCAATCTAGTTGGTACCAATCTAATTGGTTGGTAGTACCATACCAACAATCCAAAATTAAAATTATCTTATTTTAAACTTTGCTAAATATAACATGGATGGATACATAAAACTTGATTTAATTCATTCGCCTAATTCTAACAATCTTAGTATCTCGTCCACACCTCCACGGTCCATCACCGCTCTTCAATGCCCATTTGTATTAGACTATTAGTGAATGCTTGAATTATATGAATATTATTTGAATGCTTGTGTAGGTAGGGATAAATGGTACAACACATACCAACATGTTATTTGAATGTTCAGTGGTTTTAGTGCATCTAGATCTAGTTGGTAAAGATGTCAATTTAAATAAATTTGTAACTTCAACTTTTGCGATGTTGGTATAAAACCGTGCCAACCGAAAAATGTTGGTACCAGGTATAGTTGGTTGGTACATGGTATAAAATTGTGTACCAATTATAATTGGTTGGTACACGGTATATGGAAAAAAAAACATGTTACCGTACCATGTTCACCCCTACCATTTCTCACAGAGCTGATCTAGAACGCTATAAAGGAATATTTACTTCAATAAATAAAGTTGCCTGTTATAGCTTTTTATCGGTCTCAGACTCGGTATTTGAGAGAGATGATTGAGGTCATGGGTTGTAATTAAAAGAATAGTAAGCCAATCATAAATTTCTGAACTGTAAGCGGGCTTATCATGTAAAGGTCTGACTTCATTTATCTTTAGACCATTGTACTCTACTATACTAGCTGAAGCAGTTTGATCCATAATGCAATTTGACATTAGTGGCATTGCTTTTAAAATATCTGAAGCCAAAATTATCTTGTTTTTTTTCGTAGTTCTGAGTTAAAAAATTTAATTTAGGTTGAAACTGTGGATGGTCTAAAAGATCTTCAAGTTCCTTCTGGGATTCAACCTGGGGAAACCATAAGACTGTCAAGGATGGGAGTTCCAGATGTCAATAAGCCTTCTGTTAGAGGCCATCATCACTTCATTGTGAATGTCCAGATCCCGAGATACATCAGGTATATTTTCTATGGAGTGTGAATAACTATAGCTCTCTTATTGATTAACTTTGAAACTTTGTGGGATTTCCTTTTAATTTTATGGTGCAATTGCTTAACAGTCCTGCAGATAATCTAAACATTTTGACCACTGATTGTCTAATCATGAATGAGCTGCTTTCCCATTTCAAATATAATGCGAGTTGGTATATTTTTCTAAGAAATTTGACAACTCCAGATGAAATAAAAGGACCAGTGCCAAAATAGTGGAAAGGTAAAGGAACCTTGTCAATATGTATACAAGGCGAGTTGATTCATTTTCTAAGATATTTGGCGACTCCATTACCACTAGAAAAATGTAGTGGAAAGGTAAAGGAACTTTTCTCAATCGACTTTTAGAAGTACTAGGTTTGATGTTTAAAGGTCTAGTGCAGAAAAGATTTTCTTTGAAAAATGTTATTTGCACTCCAAACAGTGACATAGGTATTGGAGTGCATAGACCATACAGTTCACATAGGTATTGGTGTAGGCCCGGAATATCGGGGAGTTGGTTTGCTGAGATTGTGGGGGGTTTGAATGGATCCTGGTGTGACTTGTTCAACTCTAGTTTAATGGCACTCTTTCCCTGGTGGTTTGGAGTAGGCAATGTCACGGGTGTCGTTTGTCATTGTCGTGTCGTCGTTGCTATCTTGGAAGGTTATCGCCAACTACGCTGACAGTCCTCGTTGTTGCTTTCTTAACTTCAACAAAATAACCGTATAAGTTATAATCATGATAGCGATACGATTGGTTGAAGGTTTTTGTTACCCGTATCAACTACTCAAAACAATGATTTGAGGTGTTATTATAATTAAGTACTTGCAAAATCACTTGGTATGAATTGCTAGTACCTATCTTCTCTTTTCGCGCACTGAGTACATCTCACCTCCCCCACCCCCACCTCCGTGTTGGATATAATGGGTTTGTTTGGTTTTGTTTGTACCTGTCTTCTAATTTGGTTTTTTGTATTCTTAGGTGGTAAGGCTTAGTTATATAAAGTGGTTACCCATAGCTTAGGTTTACTGTAATGAATCACTCTATTTCACAACTAGAGTTCCAATGGTAGTAGAAAAAAACTGTTCCAACATTTCATTTCCATCTGAAGCAAATGGACTCTGGTATGTAGGAATCTGTTGTGTTCATCAAGCTAAATGCTATTATTTTTCTTCAAGCAGAAAAACCACATGCAACATGGAGCAGAGTAATGATTGATCTTGGTCATTACATTATGTTGACAAACCCCTTTCTTAAAAGGATAATGATGAGGCTTGTAAATGATAATGCAATAATCAAAATACCATGCAAAGCATTGATGTTAGTGTACAGATTCGAAGAGATAAAAAAAAGGAGGGATACAAGACATGTCCCATCAGGGATTTGGTGCACAAAGAGATGAGCAGTAATCACAAAAAATGAATAATGATATGTTGCATTCAACGGGGGTTACACTTTATAGGCCTTTGGGAACAATACTCAAGATTGAGTTCCCAGGAGGAAGAGGATCCTTTGCAATTATCAACTTCATTTTTGCAGTTGGTACAATCATGGCAACAATTGATGGTTTGTGCACATGTAGTGTATGAAGACATTTATGCATCAACTTAAGTGAGGATGGTATGAATGTTGAACATATATTGTATGATTGGTAAAAGGATGATTTTTTGTACAAGGGCCAACTGTTTCCTCTATCATAGCTCTGAATTTACTAACCATGTAATCCAATGTCCTTGTCATGTCAGCAATGAGGAGCGCCTATTGGTTGAAAAGTTGGCGGCAATACGACATCACGTAACTAATGGTACAGTGCTTATTGTTTCATCCTTTGTCAAGTTTACTGCACCTTTCACACTGGCTAAAAGAAGGAAGTCTAAGAAGATGATGAGCTGTCGGTGCATTGAAACTGTAGAGTCCTCGTGGACCATCATTAACTTCCAGTGTGTCTTAGATGTCATATGAGTACTTGTCTCTTCTTAAGCTAAGTCAGCTAGAAGGAGAACGTTTACCCACCTACAAATAGTGTCCTAAAGGAATTCTTGGATACATGAAAAAGAGTAGAGAAAGTCTGTTTTGAAAAGGAATCGTCTCATATGTTTTATTTTTGCACTTACCAGGACGACAGGATGATACCTTTGACAAATATAAAAGAGATTTTGCTTCAAGCTACACTAGCAAAAAGCTTGCTACGTCTTTATGGAACTCAATCCGGGACATATTCGGGTATGCTTTGATATGCTTGCTAACTATTTTTCACCTGATTGTTCACTTTCTCTCTTTTCCCAGGCTTCTGCCACATTTTTTTGATACAATATGTTATTGCAAGGTATTATTATGGTTAGGAAATTGGGTGCAATGGAGGGTCATGAAACAGTAGGAAACCGTAACCAGACCAGGCACATAAATGCAATAATTAAGATTAGCCCTATTTCTCTAATGCCCGATAGTTGGAGAAAGTGATGATCAACATCAACGTGTTTCACGCATCCATGGAAAACATGACTCTTGATGTTCTACACAGCAACATCATTGCAATATGTGAATCCCCAAATGGTTCATGCCATGGATAGGGAAACACGCCTTGCTACTAGTTTTTCCATGAAAAAAGATTCCCCTGAAGGAAAACAGAATACCCTATTGTAGACATACTAGTATATTGACGTCCTACATGACTACCAATTATGTAAAGAGCATGATGTCCGGGATCATCCATCGTGTTCCTTCTATAAAACAACATTCCAATGACCGTACGAGGGGATGACATGTCCGGGATCATCCATCNATGTCCGGGATCATCCATCGTGTTCCTTCTATAAAACAACATTCCAATGACCGTACGAGGGGATGACATGTCCGGGATCATCCATCATGTTCCTTCTATAAAACGACATTCCAATGACCGTACGAGGGGATGACATGCCCAGGATCATCCATCGTGGTTATCAGGAACTGTATGTTGCTCTGGTCCACGACACGACTTATTCGTGAATGTATCTATTATCATCAAGCAATTGGAGCATAAATTTATTACAATTTTGTGGCACTTGTGTACACACAGGAAATTAACATAGATGAAACCCCAACTAGAGCGGTTAAATATAAATTATAAAACTAACACAATCAGCCAGTTTGCCCTATCCTTGTAACCTTGTCAATTTGGCAAAAGGAGAAGTATGCGTATGGGGTGTCCTTTCATTTGGAACACATAATTTCAAGGTGAATCATATTCACTTGAGCCCTGTTCAAGCAATCCACTTGCATGATTGTCAAGACATCAACTTTAGTTGGTAAGGATGCTTAACCTGTCATAGTTAGATGTCCTGACTTTTTCTGCATTCTTCTGGTGCATCTCTTTTCTTGGTTCGTTTTAAACTTTTGCAAACCCCCCCCCCCCCCCCCGGGTGGGGAGTTAGAGCAGAGGTCAAGTTTGTATACATCTTACCTCTCTCAAACCCTGCTTTTGAGCGACATATACTGGGTCGTTTTGGTTTGGTTAAGCATCCACTTGTAGGTTTCCCCGAGAGTCATTCAAGTAAAATTTCAGTAACTTTTTTGTATCTATTATCATTAAGCAATTGGAGCATAAATTTCAAAAATTTCATAGATGATAACACATGATTGTATTATTTTTTTGACAGGGGCAAACAATCTGGGGATCAATTTAGTTCTGCAAGCATATGCACAGCCGTATACTGGAAACGTTCTTCACCAAGTTCTTCAACAATGGTTCTTACTGCTATAGTTCTTATCTTCACATGTATATTTAAATCTGCACGTAGAAACGGCAGCAAAACTAAGAAACAAGAGAGATAGATTGGACAGAAATGGCCGTGAAAATTCCGAAATCATACAACATTTGTTTTCATTATTTTCAAGAAATCTTTAGCACCCCTTTCTATTTTCACTCATCCCATAACAAACCCAATATGTCTCGCATGGAGTTCTGGGGGTAACATGTACATATCTGTACCCTAAAAAGTAGAGTGATTGTTTCCGTGGCGGCTTGTTTGACCTTCTTTTACAACTAACGAATAATAAATAATTATTGGAATGAATATGAAAATTCTTAATCTACCAACAAGTATAAAGTAACCCCAGCAGAATCAAAATCCTGCTGAATCCCCATCTTGAGGTTTGTATAATTGTAGCATTCGATTTCTTCTTCTTGCCATCATCATCATCATCACTGTCATCATCACTAATGTCTTTAGGGTGATCAAAGTTAGCTGGAACCAGTGTGTCCGGCACTGTATCATCACCAGACTGTTGGCCCACGGGGCCAGGTGCACCTGGTGATGGAGTTCTCAAACTTGGTGGCAACCCTTGTCCATGTGTGACGTTGATGCTGAAACGCTGACCGTTTTCACATTGCTCGCCGTCGTAATCACTTGAGAAGAAATAGGTGGGTCCGACCTTGAGGAGCGGGACAGCCACAAAGACGGGGTGGACGTTGGTGGCTGAAGGGTCCGGTGATGACCAAGTGACGGTATCGTTATCGAGTGAAGTACTGTCATCACAGAGGCTGTAGATGGTGGAATTGTACGTTTGTACAACTGTGTGGTTGTTATCAGTGTTGAAAACTGCAGAGAAAACACAATTATTTAGGAAAGGGACTTTGAAACAAATGTGTATGATTGGAAATGCATTGTCAATGATAAGGGAGAGAAGGTACAACCACTATTGCTGGTAGTACAACCTCATTTTGATGTTTTATAGTTGTCAATAACAAAAGCCGCACTAACCACCCCATCAACGTAACTTGAATTAGTATTTAATTAAATTCATAACTTTCTAATCTATATCAGAAAAAATAAGTTTATATTCATGTGAAAGCCATGGATTTAATTAAAATCGTATTTAAGGTTATATATTTAAAAATATTCGTGAAATGATTTTAAATAAGTTTTTAATTAAATTCATGAGTTTCTGTCATATTATTGAAAAATTGACTTTAGAGGATCATGGATTTCATTAATTCGATATTTTGTTATTTTTATTTTTAAAAAGAATAACAAAATATATTGAGAAATTTGATAGGTGGACATGAAGCTTAGAAAGAATTGATTTATGTGATTGGAAAATGTATAATTTTCTGTAATCAACCATACCAATTCTTATATGAATTAAAACAATCAACACTAAATGTACGGTTTTATATTATGAAGATTTTACTTGTACATCAAAATTTTAAAAAAGATTCATGCTAATTGAAATTACTAATCAATGATTATAATTAGCGAAAGAAGGATAAAACGATGACTCACTATATTATGTGTTGGGTTTCAGTGATAACACAAGAAGTTATGGTATGAAGCGTAAGAAAAGATCATTAATATTAATTGAATGTCAATATTAATAAGGTATATCGAGATGTATCGGATCAATTCCCTTCTCAAACGTAACGTAATTCATTCATGTGAGATGAAAAGTGATCAAGAATTCACACTTCCACTTATGCTTTTCACAGGATGCTTTGCGGATTATGAATGGAGTTAGATCTATAAATAAATAAAAAGACTCTTAAAGTAGATTCATTAACAAGTTTCCTTTTATAACTTTGATTTCCACACATAATTACCAGAAAGAAAGAAAAAGGAATTCCCAAATTTAATTGTATTTTTATGAGGATGAAGAGAGAGTGAGAGAGAGAGAGAGAGAGAGAGAAGAACATACGGAGGAAATCACCGAGGGAGAAGGTGTGAGAAGAAGCCCATTTTTGATAATTGACAGACGATTTCTCCAGTTTATCGAACCAACCCAGATCTTCTCCCACAGTGTAGTTCTTGTACCCTGAAACACCGCCATTCATGCTCACCATCATCACCATCATCATCATCCATACTTTCTTCCATTGCTCCATCTCTCTCTCTCTCTCTCTCTCTGTGATTTGATTTGGGGAGTGGGTAGTGTGTGAATAATACTGCAACAAGCTACTGCTTTCAGGGTCGCTTTCTTCGTTTATACACAACCACCTCGGCCTTTACTATATATATATATATATATATATTCAGAGAGAGAGAAAGAGTGAAACATACATATAGATATATATATATATATATATAGACAGAGAGAGTGATATATATATATATATATATATATAGCGTGTCTCTTTTTACTTTTTATCCTAATCTTGATTCTGTGCTAGTCGACCTCCGACGATATATGCTGCAGTGTGTTACGTGATCCAACGGTATGGAAATGAGTTGGAATTTGGGTACACATAATTAATTCTTTGTATAGTATTCCGTACTAATATTACATAAATATTATAATGTTAAAGATGATTTAATATATATAAGAGGCTGTTTACCAAATTTTCTATTAAGTCCTGTATGAATAAATTTGTTTGTTCAGATAAATTTATGTTATTGTTTACTTTTCTATCTGAATAGACAGTCTGAAATAACATAAATGACCAATTTACCCCTTATCGTAAATACATAAATACAAAAACAACAAACAACAAACAACAAATACATCAACAACAAATAACAACCTAATCGTAAAGCAAACAACAACCTAATCAAGGTTTATGCTACCGTTTATAACAACAAACATCAAAAAATCGAGATAGAAACAGCAAACATCAAATAGCAGAACCTAAACGTGTTTGGAGAAGTATAGTAGTTACCGATTAGATGGAGAAGACTGTCAATCGATGGAGAAGACTGTCGATCGATGGAGAAGAGACCTTCGAATAGGGTTCTGTGGATCAATGGAGACTAGACCTTCGATTAGGGTTATGTGGATCGATGGAGAAGAGACCTTCGATTAGGGTTTGGACCGATGGAGAAGAGGCGCGATAGGGTGATTCGTAAGAGAGAGGAGCGATAAGAGAAGGGTAGGGCAGTCTTTTGGCTGGCTTAATCTGGACAAGCTAGGGTTTTCATCTGGGCGAATAAGCCCATTTCTGAGCGAATAAGCCCGAGGTAAACAACCTAAAAAGTCTGTGCGAATAAGCCAGTTTATCCACTAAGCTCATTAAGCCTCAAGTAAACAGGCCTTAAGATGATAATCAAATGAAAACCGTATAAAGATTTTAAACTTGTGAGAACCGATATAAATATATCTTTTTACATTGTTTTCTTTGATCAAAAACTATGATTTAACATATTGTTTCACATATGTTTGTGTTCAACTTTTTAAAAATTGCATGTAAACCTTTTTTTATTCACTTAGTGAAACAAATAATACATATAAAAAATCTTCATACGGTGAAACAAATACATGTGAAACTATCACATTATAAAACAAATATATGTGAAATAATATTTTAAATTCTAGCAATTAATGAAAAAAAATCAAGTAAAAACTTACTTTTAAATCAGTTTTCACAGGGTTTGTAACCTTTTGGGTTCTCATTTGATTTAACTTATATATATATATATATATATATATATATATGGACAAGATCAAATGTTAACCAAAGTTTTTGTGTTMACTTTGCAAACCATGTCAACCAATCACAATCCATTCTTCTATTAGGTTTCTATCATTTTCACAATTTAATGCCAAGTGTAATTGAGTAATTTCATTTGCTATGTAACTCCCATACCATTAAAGGGGAGTAACAAAATCATAAAATTCCTAAAAATATATATATTTATAATATTGATATTTTTATTTATTTATTTTTTAATCTTGATCTTTCATTTTTATTGTTTTATGATTTTTTGATTCGTGGAGGAAACACGGTAGTAAAATCTTTGGTATCGTTCAAGCTATTATGGATAAACGCATTAGAAAAAAAAATTAACAATATTGAGAAGATTAAAATGGTTTACGGTGACAATCGGAGTTTGAGTTCTGGAAGTGAAAAAACTAACCAAAGCGAATGTTTTGGTAATTGATTAATATTTTATTAGACTCGTTTTAATCGAAATTATGTTTATTATGATGTTTTGTGTTTTTTGTAGTTCATCTTGCATTGATAACTTTTTTCTTTAATTATTAATACGTACCTAATTCATATGTTCAAATGGAAGTACATGCACAACCCATTTTCATATTGTCGTATTACCGACTTTTATGAATCATGAACCATTGTGTTCATGTTACTTCTATCATATGAACACAAGTGTTATCTTTTAAGCTTGATACCAAATCTTTATATTTGTGTAAATGTTTGCACCCGGTGTTCATAGCATCGGGGTTACGTGTTCATATATTTTATATTATATGAACAATGGGTGAACACGATATGAACAAGGGGTGAACACGATATGAACAAGGGGTGAACAACCATATAAGACCAGAAACATATATGAACAAGGGGTGAACAACCACATAAGACCAGAAACATATATGAACAAGGGGTGAACAACCACATAAGACCAGAAACATATATGAACAAGGGGTGAACTTTAAACGGTGTGGATGCAATGCATGTATAAAACTCCAATTGACAAATGATCGCTCCTGAATGTGTTTATAGGGAAGGAACTATTGTTCACAAGCTGTTCATATTGTGTTCATACCTGTTTTTTTATTTATTTCCTTTCGTATAATAGTTATTCTTATTATGTTCATATTGTGTTCATAAATGCTATGCAGTCTAAGTTCATATATATGTCAATTTTTTGTTCGTATTTGACACAATGGTTCATATATATATACATATATATATATATATATATATAGAGAGAGAGAGAGAGAGAGTTGTATTCATATGGTTCTTACATTAACAAAAATCATAGAATTTTTTGATTTTGTAACTCCCAATTAATGATATGGGAGTTACATAATTTTTTTTTACCTAAATACCCTTTTCAACTTTGTTCACTTATCTTTATGAAATTTTAAATCTAAAAAAATAAATTTTTATCATGATTAATCACAATCGTTTATTGAAAGATCGAATGGCCAAGATCGGTTAACAAAGTTAACACAAAAACTTTGGTTAACATTTGATCTTGACCCTA